TAAAAATTTAACCGATCAGGAGACGGGAAGATACGAGCTTTGGGCTCTTTCCCGTAAACACAATTAGGTAATCACAATTAGGTAATCACACACACACACACACACACACACACACACACACACACACACACACACACACACACACACACACACACGACAGATTGCTGCTTGGAATGTCCAGATTAAGGAAAACATTGAACAGTTCAGAAAAGAGTTCCAGGAGCTGAATATGGAAAATGATGCCATGAAAACTTCCTTTGCTGATGCACTAAAGGGGAATGTGGCAGTAAAAGAGGCTGTAAAGGTGGTGGCACTGGAAAACATACAAACAGTTGACTATAAAGAGACAGTAATCGAAAAAATGAAAGACGTTGTGATGGAAAGGGCAAACCCACTCATCAGACAGGCACTTGATAAGGAGAAGACAGTGGTAATCTCAGGCATAAGCGAGTCCCAGGAGCCAACATGGCAGGGGAGACTTGAAGAAAATAAAGCTAGGGTTGTAGACCTGATAAGAAAGCTTGGAGTAGTATGTGGTCCTGAGGATATTGTAAACATACACCAACTAGGTAAATATTCGAGGGAAGGAAAGCCGAGACCAACAAAAGTAACCTTTGAGAGAGGGGAAACATGTAGGGAAATATTGTTGAGAAAAAAAAGTCTAAAAGACCTTCAAGAATTCAAAGAAGTGTTCATTAGACGATACAGAACACAGGAAGAGATGGGAATGATCAAAAACTTATTGCAAGAGGCAAGAAGGTTAAATGATGAAAGAAATGAAGAACAGAAGAAAAATTTTCATTACAGAGTTCTTCCAGACAAAGGGGAGATAAAGAAGATAATGACAGAAGATCAGTGGATGGGGCCTCATTAAGATTGTTATACACAAATGCTGATGGATTAGCTGGTAAGGCAGTAGAATTAAAAGATAGGATTCACAACAGTAAGGCAGATATAGTAACAATTACAGAGACTAAGTTGATTGAGGACATAAACAGTGTCACAGTTTTTCCTAAGAGCTTCAGAATACTAAGGGTTGAAAGATCTGAGAGGACTGGTGGAGGGATAGCACTGCTCATAAGTGAAAGGATTCAAGTTGAAGAAATAAACTTTGCTATAGAAAGTGAATTCAAGGAATTTCTTGTTGCTCGCATAAATACTGGGTCAGAGAGCATTATAATAACTGTTGTATACAACCCACCAAGGAACCAAAATAGGCTTGAAATTTATGAGGAAAGTCATATAGGTACTATTGAAGTCATAAACTCAGTTGTTAACATGGCACGGGAAAAAAAATGTAGGATTTTGATTATGGGAGACTTTAATCATAAAGAGATAGATTGGATAAATCTTGACCCACACAGTGGTGAGGACTCATTCGGGGCAAGATTCCTAGATTGCGTACAATGGACTTTCCTACACCAACATGTAATGGAACCAACAAGGGCCAGGGGTGGGGATGAGCCATCACTACTTGATCTAGTGTTCACAGATAATGTGTTGGATATTGAAAAAAATGAGTATGAACCACCAATTGGAAAGAGTGACCACTGTGTGTTGTTAATGGAGTATATCATTGAAGATATTCTTCCTGAGAGTAGAGGCACTGAGGACATGAGGAGGAACTATCCGAAAGGAGATTACATCAAAATGAATGAGGTTTTTGCAGTTATTGACTGGAGAACCTTATTTTACAACAAATCTGTACAAGAAATGTATGACATCTTTTGTGAGAAATATGGGAAGATAGTAGATTGCTGCATACCTGTCACCAAAGTAGATGTAATTCATGCCAGAGAGAAATGGTTCGATAATGGGTGTAAAAGAGCTAAGGAGTGGAGAGACAAATGCTGGAAAAGGCATAGGAGGAGAAAAAACATAAATGCCTGGCAAACCTACAAAAGAGCAAGATAAGACTACCTAAGTAAAAGGAGAGAGGCAGAGAGAGACTATGAGAGGGACATCACCAGGAAGGCTAAAGAAAATTCCAAGCTTTTCCACAGCTTTATCAGAGGAAAACTGAAGGTAAAAGAACAGGTTTTAAGGCTAAAGAGAGCGGATGGAAGCATCACTGAGACGGATGAAGAGATCTGCAAAGAATTGAACAAGGAGTTTCAGTCAGTATTTACAGTAGAAAATACCCCACCCCCTCAGATTGCAGTGATAGAAGCTCAAGGGCCGGTATTAGAGAACATCAACTTTACAGCCACAGAGGTATGCAAAGCGCTGATGGATTTAGATGTTCATAAAGCTACAGGTCCCGATGACATATCCCCTCATGTGCTTAAAAAATGCGCAAACACAATATCAGTGGCACTAAGTATCATATTTAAGGAGTCACTGGAGTCGGGGGAGATTCCAAGATGCTGGAAACAAGCAAATGTGATACCTATCTTCAAAAAGGGAAGGAGGGATACGGCTGTGAACTATAGACCAGTTTCCTTGACCAGCATAGTTTGCAAAGTTATGGAGAAACTACTAAGGAAACATATCTCTCTTCACTTGGAATCCTTCAACTTTTTGTCAGTGAGGCAACATGGCTACAGAGAAGGTAGATCAACAGTAACAAACTTATTAGAATTTTATGATGAGGTAAGTCAAATCTTACAGGAAAGAGAGGGATGGGCAGATTGCATATTCCTAGACTTTCAGAAAGCGTTTGACACTGTTCCACATGGGAGACTTATTAGGAAGCTGCAATCAATGGCTAGAATAGGTGGAAATGTTTTGGAATGGATAAAAACTTACTTAGAAGGAAGGGAACAGAGGGTTAGAGTAAGACACTCAGTGTCTGAATGGAGAAGAGTTAGTAGTGGAGTTCCACAGGGTTCAGTTTTAGGGCCACTTTTGTTCCTTGTATATGTAAATGACCTACCAGAGTCTGTAAATTCATTCATGAATATGTTTGCAGATGATGCAAAGATTGTGAAGAAAGTAAAAAACGAGGACAATGGTAGAGAACTTCAGGAGGATCTAAATATTCTGCATGAGTGGTCAGAAAAGTGGCTAATGAAATTCAATACTTCAAAATGTAAGGTAATGAGAATGGGTACAAGTGCAAGAAGGCCCAAGCTTGACTACTCGGTGGCTGGAGTACAACTTCAAGAGACAGAAAATGAGAGAGATCTAGGAGTAAACATACTGGCAGATTTGTCTCCAGAAATACATATAAATGGCATAGTGAGGGCAGCATATACATTCTTATCAAATGTAAGGGTAGCCTTCAGGCACATGGACAAGGAAATGTTCAGAAATATTTATGTAACCTATGTGAGGCCAAAACTGGAATATGCAGCCCCCTTTTGGAATCCGCACTTGAAAAAGCACATAGCTAAGCTTGAAAAAGTTCAAAGACATGCCACGAAACTGGTGCCAGAAATACGCAATCTCACTTATGATGAGAGGCTGAGGGAATTAGACTTACCATCACTCGAAGCTAGAAGAGTGAGGGGGGATATGGTGACAGTCTTTAAATTCCTTCATGGTTATGATAGAGTGGATAGGGATCGATATTTTGATATGGCTGGCTCTAGAACTAGAGATCACAGTTTTAAGCTTCGTAAGAAAACTTCTTCGCAGGATGTAAGGAAATACTTTTTCAGTGTAAGAGTAGTTGATAATTGGAATTGGCTAAGCGAGGAGGTAGTTAATGCTATCTCAATCCATAGTGTTAAGGACAGGTATGATAAGTATCACTAAGTATAAAATGGAACCGATGAGGAGACGGGAAGATACGAGCTTTGGGCTCTTTCCCGTAAACACAATTAGGTTAATACAATTAGGTAATTACAGAAGGTTAAAAGGAATCCAACCTTATAGCTTATATCTGCTATACTTAGGAATGAACGCATTCTAACTGAATGCTACTATGTTCATATTACAGATTCCCCAACCTCACTCGTGGCTTCATTATAGCAATTAATTCAAGTCCCAATCTCATTTGGGCCGTGAAATAACCAAGCAAGCACATTACATATGTGAAAACATGAATAATATTTTTACCCCGACCGGGACTCGAACCTAGGACTTATGATTACTAAGTCAAGGCGCTACCACTACACCACAGAAGGTTAAAAGGAATCCAACCTTATAGCTTATACCTGCTATACTTAGGAATGAACGCATTCTAACTAAATGCCACTATGTTCATATTACAGATTCCCCAACCTTCCTAGTGGCTTCATTATAGCATTTAATTCAAGTCTCAATCTCATTTGGGCCATGAAATAACCAAGCAAGCACATTACATATGTGAAAACATGAATAATTCTTTTACCCCGACCGGAACTCGAACCTAGGACTTATGATTACTAAGTCAAGGCGCTACCACTACACCACAGAAGGTTAAAAGTGAGGTTAGGGAATCTGTAATATGAACATAGTGGCATTCAGTTAGAATGCGTTCATTCCTAAGTATAGCATATATAAGCTATAAGGTTGGATTCCTTTTAACCTTCTGTGGTGTAGTGGTAGCGCCTTGACTTAGTAATCATAAGTCCTAGATTCGAGTCCCGATCGGGGTGAAAAAATTATTAATGTTTTCACATATGTAATGTGCTTGCTTGGTTATTTCATGGCCCAAATGAGATTGGGACTTGAATTAAATGCTATAATGAAGCCACGAGTGAGGTTGGGGAATCTGTAGTACGAACATAGTGGCATTCAGTTAGAATGCGTTCATTCCTAAGTATAGCAGATATAAGCTATAAGGTTGGATTCCTTTTAACCTTCTGTGGTGTAGTGGTAGCGCCTTGACTTAGTAATCATAAGTCCTAGGTTCGAGTCCCGGTCGGGGTAAAAAAATTATTCATGTTTTCACATATGTATTGTGCTTGCTTGGTTATATCATGGCCCAAATGAGATTTGGACTTGAATTAAATGCTATAATGAAGCCACGAGTGAGGTTGGGAAATCTGTAATATGAACACAGTGGCATTCAGTTAGAATGCGTTCATTCCTAAGTATAGCAGATATAAGCTATAAGGTTGGATTCCTTTTAACCTTTTGTGGTGTAGTGGTAGCACCCTGACTTAGTAATCATAAGTCCTAGGTTCGAGTCCCGGTCGGGGTAAAAAGAAAAAAAAAATTATTCATGTTTTCACATATGTAATGTGCTTGCTTGGTTATTCCATGGCCCAAATGAGATTGGGACTTGAATTAAATGCTATAATGAAGCCATGAGTGAGGTTGGGGAATCTGTAATATGAACATAGTGGCATTCAGTTAGAATGCGTTCATTCCTATGTATAGCAGATATAAGCTATAAGGTTGGATTCCTTTTAACCTTCTGTGGTGTAGTGGTAGCGCCTTGACTTAGTAATCATAAGTCCTAGGTTCGAGTCCCGGTCGGGGTAAAAAAAGTTATTCATGTTTTCGCATATGTAATGTGCTTTCTTGGTTATTTCATGGCCCAAATGAGATTGGGACTTGAATTAAATGCTATAATGAAGCCACGAGTGAGGTTGGGGAATCTGTAATATGAACATAGTGGCATTCAGTTAGAATGCGTTCATTCCTAAGTATAGCAGATATAAGCTATAAGGTTGGATTCCTTTTAACCTTCTGTGGTGTAGTGGTAGCGCCTTGACTTAGTAATCATAAGTCCTTGGTTCGAGTCCCGGTCGGGGTAAAAAATCATTCATATATATATATATATATATATATATATATATATATATATATATATATATATATATATATATATATATATATATATATATATATATATATATATATATATGTATATATATATATATATATACATATAAGTACACATTGTTAGCATACAGCACAAAATAGTAAGGAAGCCCATCAGTGAAGCAAAACTTATAAAACAATGCTATATTTTGGATCCTAACTGGATCCCTTCTCAAGCACAAATGAGAAAAAATAACAAAGGTGGAGGAAACGTAAACAAAAGGACTCATGAGCCTAAGGGATTAAAATTTTTTATGATAATAGGACAGGCCTAATCTAAACGAATTATCCTCAATCAAAGAAGTCGCCAAGATCATTAAATCTTTAACAAAGGAAACTGTTACTCCTTAAAATGATAATAGATCTGAAAGAAGTTAACCCCCCAAAATTTTTTATAATTAAAAAAAATATTAATAAATATGCTCATAAAGATATATCCCCATATGCAAGAGCAGACATAATGATATCCATATATATATATGTATATATATATATATATATATATATATATATATATATATATATATATATATATATATATATATATATATATATATATATATATATATATATACTAATACAAGCAAAATACACAATAACGAGTACAATCTGGTTGGGGGTTTATCTTGAGGTACAACCTCGTTGAGGCAATGCTTCAGGAGGGCTTTATCAATTATGTCAGGGGTCCATTGCCCCCTAGATAGATTGAAATTATCCTTTATTTTAAGGAGGAATGATTCCACAAGTTTCCGTTTGAATTGACAAGTACTTTTAAATAGCATAGTGGCACCACTCCAATCAATCCGATGATTATGTTCATTGATGTGGGTAAAAAGAACCGAATTTTCTTGATGATATCTTACTGCTCTCTTGTGTTCTAAGACTCTCTGGGATAGAGAGCGGCCTGTTTGTCCAATGTACACTCTATTGCAATCATTACAGCTTATTTGGTATACTCCTGCATTAACTTCTTTTTTTGTTTAGGTTAACGTTAACTAATTCTTTTCTTGAAGTGATGGGATAGTTAAAAGTGAATGGGGACTGTTTACCTAAGGTATCATTTATGACGCCTAGCTTTTGGTGAAAAGGAGGGAGGATTTTGTTGAAATTATTCTCTTTAGGGGTCCTGTGAGGATTGTAAAAAAATCTGTTTAGCTTTCTGTGGAGGTTTGTCTAAGAAAAAAGGGAGGATAATAAAGTTGGTCAAGCTGAGAATAAACCGTTTGAATTTCATGTTCTAAATAATTAGTGCTGCAAATCCGGAGGATTCTAAGGAATAAATTCGAAGCTATACCTAATTTTACTTTTTCTTCATGATAACTATAAAAGTTCACATAAGACGCAGAGTGGGTGGATTTTCTATAGACTTTAAAATTGTAACCCAAGGGATCTCTAACAATGAGGACATCAAGGAAAGGCATTTGGTTTTCGTTTTCCCATTCTACTTTAAATTTAATGGAAGGAACTAATCTATTTAATTATGCTACATATTCGTCAAAGGTACCCCAGGCATCATCCCAATAACTAAAAATGTCATCACCATAGCACAGCCAAATCTTGTTGAGAGGTTTGATTTCTCTCAGAAGCTCAGTTTCAAAATATTCCATATATAAATTGGCTCAAAGTGGAGTCAAAGGAGTTCACATACTGCAATCGAACATTTGCTTATAAAAATTGACATTAAAAGAAAAGACATTAGTTCTCACGCAGAGTCTGATTAATTTGATAATTTTTGCTATGGGTGAGGGGAAATCCTTTTAAAAAGTTTCAAGTTTCTTAGCAAGGAAATTAAGTACAGCATCTGCTGCAACATTTGTAAAAAGTGATTCTACATCAAGACTGAGTAATTTAACCCCAATCATTGGAACATTTGATAACCTAAATCTCTGAATGAAATCCTCTGATGCTTTAGGTGCGACTGGGAAAATTTACCTAGATATGAGGATAGTAAGCTGGCTACCCATTTAGCAAGTTTTAAAGTGAGAGAGTCACGGCATGAAACAATAGGACGCAGAGGAATATTTTCCTTATGGGTTTGGGCAAGCCATAAAAATACTGGAGTTGAGGATTAATAACTTTAAATTTCTCAAGGACCTCCCTATCACATTTTGACTGAGCTATGTCCCGAACATTTTTATTGAAATTGGCTGCAACATTTACTAAGGGATTTTTGGAAAGTTTCTCATAAGTATTGGAGTCATTAAGGAGTTGCATAGCTTTACCTATATAACAGTCTTTATCTAAAAGTACGAGTTTCCCCCCTTATCAGATTTTGTTATGATGATATCATCTTTTTGTTTAAGCGACTTAATAACCAATAGAAACCTTCTAGGAAGTGAACCCTTACCATCGACTTTATCAAGTAAATTACGAATAACCCCCTTTAAGCACATACGGCTCTGAACTATAGACCAGTTTCTTTGACCAACATAGTTTGCAAAGTTATGGAGAAACTACTAAGGAAACATATCTCTCTTCACTTGGAATCTTTCAACTTTTTGTCAGTGAGGCAACATGGCTTCAGAAAAGGTAGATCAACAGTAACAAACTTATTAGAATTTTATGATGAGGTAAGTCGAATCTTACAGGAAAGAGAGGGCTGGGCAGATTGCATATTCCTAGACTTCCAGAAAGCCTTTGACACTGTTCCACATGGGAGACTTATTCGGAAGCTGCAAGCAATGGCTAGAATAGGTGGAAATGTCTTGGAATGGATAAAAACTTACTTAGAAGGAAGGGAACAGAGGGTAAGAGTATGACACTCAGTGTCTGAATGGAGAAGAGTTAGTAGTGGAGTTCCACAGGGTTCAGTTTTAGGGCCACTTTTGTTCCTTGTATATGCAAATGACCTACCAGAGTCTGTAAATTCATTCATGAATATGTTTGCATATGCAAAGATTGTGAAGAAAGTAAAAAACGAGAACAATGGTAGAGAACTTCAGGAAGATCTAAATAGTCTGCATGAGTGGTCAGAAAAGTGGCTAATGAAATTTAATACTTCAAAATGTAATGTAATGAGAATGGGTACAAGTGCAAGAAGGCCCAAGCTTGACTATTCGGTGGCTGGAGTACAACTTCAAGAGACAGAAAATGAGAGAGATCTAGGAGTAAACATACTGGCAGATTTGTCTCCAGAAATACATATAAATGGCATAGTAAGGGCAGCATATGCATTCTTATCAAATGTAAGGGTAGCCTTCAGGCAAATGGACAAGGAAATGTTCAGAAATATTTATGTAACCTATGTGAAGCCAAAACTGGAATATGCACCCCTCTTTTGGAATCCACACTTGAAAAAGAACATAGCTAAGCTTGAAAAAGTTCAAAGACATGCCACGAAACTGGTGCCATAAATACGCAATCTCAGTTATGATGAGAGGCTGAGGGAATTAGACTTACCATGACTCGAAGCTAGAAGATTGAGGGGGGATATGGTGACAGTCTTTAAATTCCTTCATGGTTATGATAGAGTGGATAGGGATCGATATTTTGATATGGCTGGCTCTAGAACTAGAGGTCATTGTTTGAGACTTCGTAAGAAAACTTCTTTGCAGGATGTAAGGAAATACTTTTTCAGTGTAAGAGTAGTTGATAATTGGCATTGGCTAAGCGAGGAGGTAGTTAATGCTATCTCAATCCATAGTTTTAAGGACAGGTATGATAAGTATTACTAAGTATAAAATGGAACCGATGAGGAGACGGGAAGATACGAGCTTTGGGCTCTTTCCCGTAAACACAATTAGGTAAATACAATTTCTATCAGAACTATTATTAGCACAATACTTATCAAAACTGACTATATAATCAAGAAAATTATTTTTCCCTGGTTTTAATGCAAAATTTAATCCTAGTCCTAATAACGCCAATTCGTTTTTTGTGAGCCTATGGTTGGTTAAATTAAGAACACTGTCAGTTAGGGATATTTTATACCACAAACTACCATTAATTAATTTTTCTAATTTTTGTTGCAATGAATTGGAGTGGAGGTCACTAATGTATGCAACCTCATCAAAAGCAAACCGTGAAAAAAAGTGGTAAATACCTTCATCTGGACAAACTAGACATAAATTATCTGAAGCTTGGTGGAATCTTTTCCTAGCAGACTTGACTTCCATGGCAGCAATTGATAGTCGGTCTTCAAGAAACAGTCTCATGAAGTCGGGAAAGATATCCTTTTTGCTTGTCCATCTCCTGAAACCAAACATCTTAGGGCAGACCTGTTCCACTATGCATTCTTAAAGGAAGAGTTTTTGATTCTTTTTCTTAAATAAGGTGAGAAGAGCATTTTCATAGAATCGATATGAGCTTCTCATAGCAGGGGAATAGCGTAAGTAGTGTGTCAGTCTTGGAGGATTCCTTATGGGCAACAATAGATAAGAA